CAAAAGAAAGGTTCATAGATGAGTCATCTCAGGTCAAGCTTAGTGGACAATGCAAGTAACTCTGAGCTGGTTTCAGGCTCTGTCTGCTCCATGCTGGGTCCGGCAAATCCAATCAACTAGAACCACTAAAGAAAAGAAAAGTTAGGAATGACAAACTTGTGAGCAAGTAGTTCTAAATATGTCTTCAGAAGGTTCACTAAAGAACTTAAGCTTCTTCTCTCCACTAAAAGCATGGAAGACCAAAGCCCAAGTAGTCCACTAGGTCTTTATAAAAGCACTTTATGGCTGGACTAATCAGTGCAGCTACATTAATGTGAGTTAAACTGTAAAGTGTAATTCAGACCCTGACTTCTTAAACTCTTCTAAATCTCCTAAATAACCCAACCAAACCCAGAAAAAGCATTTCTCATCCATAGAAGTTCTCAGTAAGCTGTAAAATCAAATCATTATCCTCCTTAATGCAATCACCCTTAGCACAATTAGCTTTCAGTAAAACACCTCCTATTCACACCGAGTCAAACTGTTGACTCCTACATGTCTGTGCCACCCTACGTTATTAAGGCCCACCTAGTAGATCAACTCAGCTCCTGTGTTACACCTGCTAGGTGGGGTAAGGCTGTTAGAGAGCTTTTGTGCTAAGAATAAAAAGACTAACAAGGGAGCTGTCATTTTTGGCAAAGCAATAAAATAAAGAACAAAAGAACAAAGCATCAGTTGCTATGACGCAACTGCTTGTTAGACGTCTAATATATTTTATCACTCAAGTTAATGATTCAAAAGTTGTGTTCAGCACTTACAGAGCTGTTGATGTGGTTTGACTGTAAGTCTCTAGAAGAACATAACTGCAAATAAAGAATGAGGGCTTGGACTAGACCAATCGACAAAACAGATGCAGCCCTGCTCCACCCAAAGGGCTCATGGTCTCCAAATCCCACCACAAACTTAAAGAAATTATCTCATAAGTTGAGTCTAATAAATGTTTCATCTTGTTTTAAATCAGAATAGTTTGTAACTATGGCAGATCAGCTGAGACATAAAGGCCTGACACAAAGTACACAGGAGAGTAGTCATTGTTCCCAAGTCAGTAAAGTTCCAAGTCCAGGTCAGTCACTGGGGCCAGTATCATCACCTTCAGTTTGTGGTATTGCTGCCTGCCAAGAGCTCCGATTCTGGCATAAACATCTTCTGAGGATTCAGGCAGCAGTCGTCATGTGGCTGGAAAATGACAGCCCTGTCAGAGTGATTTCTTCACTAAACACTGTTTCAAAAGACTCTTTAGTACATTCACAAACCCTTTTCTGCCAATTCTGATTTATTGATAAATAGAATATTTTAGCAGTTTTCACAAATGCAGACTGTTACCTATCCAAATCTTAAAGCTTATTGACATAGTTTTTAAAGTCAGAGTAGGGCATCAAACTTTTAATTCAACAAACACTTAATTTCTTATATATATATATATATATATATATATATATATATATATATAAAATAAAAATATTTTATTTTAATTGAAATGAACCAATGTTGCACAGGATTAATTGGGTACTTTTTATCTTTAGCTCCCAAGATCTCACTTGTTTAGAAATTGAGCTCATATAGAAAATAGAAAATAGAATGAGAATAAGATCTGTCACATTATAATTTTCAGTTTTATGGTAAACAATTTAGAGGACAATATTAGGTGTGTGAGCTTAGTGCATGTACCTGCGACTCATGGTGAGAACTGTAAGCAAGTGATGCTGGTGATGAGGAAAAGTAGCTATATTTTCAGTGTAGAAAATGAAAGAGTGCACTACAGTGCAGGCACATGGAGGTGCAATAGACAAGAACATGTGAGCTGGTTGGTGTGTACATATCAGCTTTCCTATGAAGGTTGTGGGTTAGGGAAAAAACACAGCCATCATCACAACCCACTCTATAATCATAGGGAGTGGTGTTTTACTCAAGATGTGTCGTAGTTAGTATTTTACATCTTTCACGAAAAGTCAAAGGTTTCGACATATGAAAACACCTGCAAAATATATCTGCATTTGACCTGATTAATTCCTTGAATAAAGTGGTTGGTGATGCTTTTATTATTACCATTTTTATTTTGTGCAAAGAAATATTGCACAAAATATTCAGAGGATAAAAACAAAACAGGAAGGACTGGTGTACCACCAGACTAATGCTTTGTTGTTTTTCTTCTATTCTTTAGCTGTTGCAGGACCACAAGGTCCTCCAGGACCCCCAGGTGAGCCAGGACCAATGGGACCATCTGGACCTCCTGGAGAGAGGGGTGTTGGACACACAGGACCTCGGGGCCCACCAGGACCACCTGGAGCCCCTGGCCTCTCTCAGGCTGGCAAACCTGGTACCCCAGGTGCTCCTGGAAAACCCGGAATCCCTGGTGGACCTGGTGAAAGAGGATTAAACGGTGCAACTGGACCAATGGGACCAAGAGGTGCCCCCGGTACACCTGGAACTCCTGGACCTGCTGGACTTTCAGCTGTTGGAAAACCTGGACCATCAGGGCTTCCAGGTCCAATGGGTCACAGAGGAGAACCTGGTTTGAAGGGGCACCCTGGTATCCCTGGTCTTCCTGGTCCAAAAGGAGAGAGAGGCATTGGTGTTCCTGGAGCCCAGGGTCCACCAGGTGGAACTGGGCCAATGGGCCCATCCGGCATGCCTGGCAAACCTGGAGTTGGCAAGCCTGGTTCCCCTGGCTATCCAGGAGAACCTGGTCAGGCTGGAACGCCAGGAAGGGATGGTGCCCCTGGGCCAATGGGTTTGCCAGGTCTTAAGGGCCACACTGGACCTCCAGGTGTAGGAGCACCAGGAAAACCAGGCCAGAATGGTACCCCAGGTACACCCGGACCTGTGGGACCCAAAGGTCCACAGGGACCTGCTGGTCAACCAGGCTCCCCTGGCATGCCAGGTGTTGGTAAGACTGGTGAACCCGGAATACCAGGATCCAGAGGAGCTCCAGGAAGTCCAGGAACCACTGGTCAGAAAGGAGAGCCAGGCCCAACTGGATTTACTGGTCAACCAGGTGGTCCTGGTCCTATAGGCCCAGCTGGTCCACAGGGTGCAAGAGGATTTCAGGGTGAGTCAGGGCCAGTAGGACCCAAAGGTGATATTGGTATGGTTGGTGCACCAGGCCCAAGAGGATCCAAGGGTGAGCAGGGAGCACAAGGCTTTACCGGAAAACCAGGTGTTCCTGGTGCAGTAGGTCCCCCAGGAGTTCCAGGCCATAATGGGGCGCAGGGTCCAAAGGGTTCACAAGGCCATGGTGGCCCTCCAGGAAGTCCTGGTGCAAATGGTGCACCTGGACTTAAAGGACACACAGGGGCCCCAGGAGCACCAGGTAAAAGCGGTGAACCTGGACTGCCAGGAGAATCAGGACCAGTTGGCCCCCCTGGTCCATCAGGCCCCCCTGGACTTAAGGGACACCCAGGTCTCCCAGGTCCACCTGGTCCAGCAGGCCTGACAGCTAAGGGAATTTCTGGTCCTATGGGTCCCCCAGGATCTCCAGGTCAGAGAGGCCATGATGGTCTCCCTGGTCCTGCTGGTCCTCCTGGTCCACCTGGTCCCCCAGGAGAGGTGGTCTACCACCATGAAAAGAGCATGCCAATCAAGTCCCATGAAGTTGTGATGCCTCATGAAGTGATGAAGGCTCCCATGTCTGCCTTTAGTGCTGTGCTGACCATGGCCTACCCCCCTGCTGGAGCTCCTATTGCTTTCAACCAGGTTCTTTACAATGGAGAGAACCACTATGACCCCCACAGCGGTGTGTTCACCTGTCAGATCCCAGGTCTTTACTATTTTAGTTTCCACGTGCATGTCAATGGTGCAAATGCATTGGTGGCCCTCTACAAAAATGAGGAGCCTACGGTTTTCATCTATGATGAATACAACAAGGGCTTCTTGGATCAGATGGCAGGCAGTGCTGTTTTTATGCTGCACCCAGGGGACAGAGTCTATGTCCAAGTTCCCGATGAGGAAAGCAATGGAATATTTGCTGCTGACAATGTTCACTGTGGGTTCTCTGGGTTCTTGATTGCCTCAACGTGATTTAATGAATCCCTGTAAACTTCAAAACCTTACAAAAAACATTAAACTGCTCAGAGAAATAGATCAGTTTACACAAATTGAAATAAAGATTGTGAATCTGTTTTACTATTTACCAACCTCACTCAAAATGACAAGGGTAAAAAATTACTCAATGATCCGAGATACCATTTTTCTAAAAAAACATTTAGGCCTCAAATTCATCCTTGTTCCCCATTCACTCTATGCCTTACAAATGAAACAAAAACATAGAATGATATTGGAAGATTTCTTAAGTGGTGCTCTACAGCTACCGGGAACATTTACAGATACTTTTTTATTTGTGTTTGTTTTTTTTATTTCTGTTTGTTTAAGGATTTCCTTTAAATTTACAAACAAAAATATGCAAAACTGATCTAATATATGTTATCAAAGATCAGCACATTTACGCCAGCACTGTGACTACAAACAGAACATTGGAGGAGAATTTCAAACTGCTTTTTTTTTGTAACTATATCCCACTGGATGTGTTAAGTTATGTACCAGTTACTGAGAAAAACATGGAATAAAAGTACGACTTTGAAAAATATCTTTGAGTTTGTTTCATCTTTTGTCAAAGTCATTAATTGAACTATGAGTATATTTAAGATAAACCGGGTACCTTTGAATGCAGATGTATTGTAATTGTGGTCAATGGCAGCCAACATGTCTTTCCAAAAGTTGGAGTTCACCTCATTTCCCCGCTGTCAAAAATGGAAGAAAAAATTGGGTTGATACAAAACTATTCAGATTTGTATTTAAAAAATGGATCTACAGATAAAAATCCCTGTAGTTATTAAAACACATATTACCTTGTGTAACATGTCCACAACTTTTCCGCAGAGCAGAGCCCCCGGAAGATCAAAGTAATTGTCATAGAAGTAGTATCTTGCTGCAAAAAATACACATATAACAGTTAGTTATTCAATTCAAGTTCATTCAAAAATACTTTACCCCAAAGGGAAATAAAATGTTGTTGTAACTCATATTAATTCAAATTGCTCAAAGAGTTATTGTAGATAGTGATGGCTGTTGTCAGGAAAGATATCTTGTAGCAGTCTTTATTACAGGTAATTTGAAGAAGCCTCTGACTGAAGACACTCATGAAGACATGGTCAGGGTTGTCCATAATTTTCTTGGTTTTATGAAGAATCCTTCTTTGATTAGACATATCCACAGGTTCTACATTCGTTCCCTGAACAGAACCAGACTTTTTAATCAGGTTGTTAAGCTTTTTTAGAGCCCTGGTTCTGATGCTGCTGCCCCAACAGATGGAGAAGAGATGAGGCTTTCAGCAACAGACTGATAGAACATCTGCAGCCTCTTGCTGCAAACCTTGAAGGATCTTAACTTCCTCAAGAAGTACAAGAAGTAAAGTCTCCTTTGTCCCTTCTTATCAACAGCTCATTGTTGATAAGTCCAGTTTGTCCAGTCCAGTTTGTTGTCCAGATGAACTCCGAGGTATTTATGTTCCTCAACCACCGCCACTTCTTCTCCCATGATGGAAATAGGGTTTGATCCAACCTCGTTTCTCCTGAAATCTACAATCTTCTGCTTTGTTTTGTTTACATACAAGACAAGGCAATTGTTCCCACACCATGACACAAAGTGGTCCACCAACTCTCTGTACTCAGCTTCTTGTCCGTCTCTGATACAACCGACAACTGCAGAGTCATACGAGTTGGACTTGTGTTGGAAGTCTTAAGTGAAAATGAATTGTGAGAGCACAGTGCCCTCTGGTGCTTCTGTGTTGCAGACCACCTGGTTAGATACACAGTCCTCCAGTCTCACAAACTGTGGTCTGTTTGTGAGGTAGTCATAGTCATAGATCCAGGTGATTGTTGAGGCCTCCACCGGTGTTTTCTGGAGCTTCTCACAGAGCAGATCAGGCTTAATTATGTTAAATGCACTGGAGAAATCAAAAAACATGATCCTCACAGAGCTGCCTGCTTTGCCCAGATGACAGTGAGTTTCTTGAAGTAGGTGCATGACAGCGTCTTCAACTCCAACTCCACAACTATATGCAAACTGCAGGGGTCCTGAGATGTGCTACCCTGTTTACTCAGGTGGGCCAGCAGGAGTCTCTCCAGGACCTTCATGTTGTAGGATGTCAGGGCAACAGGACTATAGTCATTGACGACTGATGGGTGAGTTTTCTTCCGTACTGGAACCAGGCAGGAAGTCTTCCACAAAACCAAAATCTTCTCTTGGGTTAAGCTGAGGTTGAAGAGGTGCTGCATAATCCCACAGAGCTTCTCTGCACAGGCCTTCAGGACTCTTGGGCTGACACTATTTGGACCTGCAGACTTATTCTGGCTCAGCCGCCAGCTGTTGCCTTCACCTGACTTCTAGATACAGAAAAATGGGAGGGAGAGGAAAAGGGAGTAGCAGCATCTCCTGATTTGGTTGAAGACAAGCTTGTGGAAGCAGACGAGTCTATGACTGAGGTGAAAGATAGAACATCTAAGGTTTGACAGGAAAGCTGACATAACTTCATTCAAAGATAAATTACCATAACCATCCCACCTGATCTTGTAAACGATGTGCTTAGGCTGTTGAAGTGCTTCCACTCCCGTTTTGGCCCATAATGTTTCATGAGTTCTTCTGTGCTGAGGTCGTTGGTTCCATGCGTTGCCCTATTCAAACAAGAAACATCCACAAATACTTTTCAAAATTGACTGGGATCTAAGCATACATTTTATGACAAATAAGCATACCTTAAAACAGTGCCATCTTCAGCCAACTTCACAATGTTTCCGTCCTCCAGATCCACCACCAACCCCTTAAAACTGGAAACAAAATGGAAATTTAAAAATAAGATGAAGCTAAGATTTAAGATTTTATCTCATTACTATTAACATCTTTCAATATTTTGGGCATTTTTGATTTAGGAATATGATTTTAACAGTAGAAAAACAGCTAGTGATATGGTTGTACAAGAAATGAACAAAAATAATACAAGGAAACAAAAATAGCTGAACAATCGTCTAGATTTGTCACCGGAGGGCAGCATAAAACAGTGCCATGGCAGCAACATGGCAGTATATTGGCTGTCTGCTAAAATGTAAGCTAGGAGAATAACTACAGTCAGGATCCTGCAAGAATCAAAAATACACACAAACTGGGAGCAAATAAAAAGATTTTCAATGCTGCCATCTGGATACACGAAGGGATCTGTCAGAAAAAGCTGCCACAAAAGCAGCTTCTCAGATGGCTGCTAGGTCGACTATGAGATGACTAAGCAGCCATCTCAGACAGTAGTATGTTGGTATTTGTAAGAAGTTTGGTTATTGTGCAAGATTATTAGCATTTTGCAGGTGCTTAGTAGATAGATTAACATTACACACTGTTTTATGTTCTAGAGACTTTATGATTTTTTTTATCCATTATTATCAAATAATGTTAATTATTGCTATTATTTATTATAAGACTAAATTGTAAGCAAATTTACTAAATAATAGTAAATTTGCTTACACCTCAGACTACATAATAGTCTGAGGAGAAAGCAAACTCCACTCAGAAAGTGGATTGGTTCTATTTCAGCATCAGTAGATGTGATAGATACTTATGGGTTTGTGTGTATTCACCTTATTCTTTAAAGTTCCAATGAAAAAAAAAAGTTGTCAGCACAGTATTTAAAATATTTTCAACTAAAACAACACAAAAAAGAATTAAGAAAAATCTTTTTCCCAGATGGCAATGAAAACTATATAAACCATTCCATACATCTTACTTTGTTAGCAACATAATTTTCATATGTGGTAAAGATGAGTGTTTTCACCAACTGGCTC